TTATAGAAGACTGTGTGGTGAGTAATAAATTACAAGTCTACGCACGAGCCGTATACAAATTATCCTTTATCCGAGCGGTACATAATAACGTATCAACGTATAATCCGCAAAAGCAACGCGATACCCCGTCGCTATTTAAAGTAATAAGCGGGTAGGGTCAACGCGAAGATCATCAACTCGTACGAAAACTCTTGAGGCTACCAGGAGGAGACAAATCATCGCTGTCATCGGGACGCGCCGGCGTGCGTTGCCGTTATATTGCTTTAGCCTTGGCTCGCATTCGTTCGAGGCGAACCTCGCGAAGGCGACGATACGAGGATTTAATATTCGTTTTTAACGCGTCCGAGAGACCAGCGTGCGTCAGTCGCGAAAAAGATAACTTTTTTCTATTCATCGTCAACATCAGAAGGTCGCCATCGTTATCTTAGATGAAAATTAAAGTTACATTTGACGCAAAATGAATGGAGCAAACATGTGAAGTTAAATAAAATTATACCTTTTTTTTTAAAATAAATATTATTATAGAATTATATTTCAAGTAAATGTACAACACACGCGCGTTACAATTCCCGGATACGGTTTGTGATATAAATGTACCGCAAAGCGGGAAGTCAATCGCGGGAACTTTTGTTACGCGACAGAGACGTGTTGCAAAGATAGAAGTGGCGCGATTCCAGTTATGACCGCGATATCAATGCAAAATATCGACGTGCTACGTAAGAATATATGTATTTCGCGCGCGAGTTATAGAGCCATAATAATAGAGAATGAACGTATCAACTTTCGCTGCCAACGCGATCGCCTTAAAAATTTTCGCGATTCACATGCGCGATCGATAACGCCTTTTTTGACGTAAAAAATAATATCCAGTTTTTTCTTATGCGTCAAAAAAAAAAAAAAAAAAAAAAAAAAAAAAAAAAAAAAAAAAAAAAAAAAAAAAAAAAAAAAAAAAAAAAAAAAAAAAAAAACGAAAATTTTATAAGAATCTTTTTGTTGGATGTGTAATTTTTTCATTTTATATTAATTTATATAAACAGAAGATAAAAATATAATAAAAATATAACTATCCATCTCCCTCATCGTAGATTTAAATATTTTATAAGTCATCTTGATTGAATTTTGTTCTGCGTTCGATGTGGTTTTCAGAGATATCTAATTTGACACATCGCTAAATAATTAAGAGGAGACACAATTTCGCATTACATTATTGGTTATATTTCCGGCCAGTTGCGGCATAAAATCCCGCGCCACGAGTGGATCACCCAATGACGTTCGATTAGTATTTCGAGGATTCGATTATGTCATTCGCGGAGATTGGCTGGAACGAGCTCTCTCGTTCGGGGCAATCAATTTTTATTATTAATAATTTACACCCCACGCGCGTAAGCCCGTGACCTATTGCGAACCCTTCCTGCAAACGCCTCATTTGCGTCACGTGTCTATTTTATGGCGGCCTGCTGCCTGTCGCGCCTGTCGCAGAATCAATCCCGTCGACACAATTTATTTTTAAACAAAATATCCTCAAACACGACCACCGACGTCTGCCTATCGGCGCGCGAGAGAAAAACGACTGATGCCCCGTCAATTTGTCCCAGGTTACTTGTAAACAAAATCGCCGACGCGGACGGAGCCAACGAGAAGGTTTGCGACACGACACCATCTTACGCCATAACAGCCTCCATTTATCGATAAAGTGTTGTCGACGCGAAAAAAATCAGTTCGCATATATACGGTGACCGATATCGCAACAATTTTTCGAATGTCATCATTTTGTGTATATATATTTTTCTTCGCGGGCTTTAAATCGCACGCGAAAACAAGGAAACAATCTTGGCGATTTACCCCAGGTAACGAGGGAAGGGAAACAGGGGAAAGGGGGAGGGGGGCGGAAAAACATCGTGCGCGATTGCGCTGATTGTGAGTGCATCGCGGCGGTCGACGAACTTGGAGCAAAAGGTTCCGCGTGCTACCAACGCGTTTTACCGCTTTTCCCACGGCCCCTATTCCTTCGCCGCTTGCGATGTTTCCAATCGCGTAGCAATGGCGGAAGGAGGCCGAAGTCGTTTCATGAAAGAAAAACTCCGCGGGAACATCGACATCGATCGGTCGATCGGTCGCGGCTGGACATATGGGACGACGAGCGGGTCGAACGCGGAATTATTCATCGGTCGTTTGTCGATGGACGACAAGGATATAATCTGGGACCGGAATGGTTTACTTAAGGGGGCATACCCGGTTGAATCTTCGAAAGATGAGTACATTTTCTAGATTTTTTTGCAGCGCAACGATTTGATAAAAACTTGTTTTTTTTTTTTTTTTTACGATATTAATACAATATTATTAAGTACTTAAATAAAAATTCTCAGCTTAAAAAAAAATTTTTTTTTTTTTTTTTAAGTTTTGCAAATATTTGAAGATTTATGTTGTCATGCACGGTGTGCGTGAAAACTTGGGCTACGTTCGACGGATTGACTTCAAATTTTACATGCGAGTTCCTAATAAGATTTCGCATCTCCTAACAAAGTCTTTTTTTAAATCTGATTTCCCATTTTTTTTGGTTATAAACAAAAAAGATGGACTTTAAACTTTTTTTCAACACGCCGCCATTTTTTCATTTTTTAAAATTTTAGAAAAACGCTTGGATAGCAGGTAGGTATTAATATGTTTAATAAAAAAAAGTTTGTATTTTTGATTTCGGATATAATCTACGAACGTTTTCATGCAGCTACCTAAAATTTGGAGAAGCTCTACAAATATTCCCATAACTTTAAAAAACAAATTCTTTTTAAGCTGTAAATTTTTATTTAAATAGTTAATAATATTGTATTAATATTGTAAAAGAAATTAAAAACTTTTATCAAGTCTTTGTTCTGCAAAAAAAGATCTAGAAAACTCATGTTTCAAACGGGTATGCCCCCTTAAAAAGAAAAAAGATTGTAGATTTTCACCAACTATTTATAAATTCTATCCACAATGTTTTCCGGAATTCTTCCGGGAAAATTTTTCGACGGGTACATCTAAATCGTTCATCGTAAATTAAATATAAAGAGCGCGAGAGAGGAATGAGAGAAAATATCTATGCCTCGAGCGACGAGGAGATTCGTTCGTAGAAACGTTTTTCTCCGTCTGATGAGGGGGACGGAGAGAAACGGAGAGAGAAAAAAAAATAAGAATTGGACCCCGAATATTCGGGATACAAAATACCTTGGGATCCCGACAACTCGGTGGGTTGCGTCTCGTCTCGCCGCGGGCAGTCTTTAGGGCCCCTGCCGCACGCTTACGTCCTTTCACGCAATTTCGTCAGAGGGAAACTTCGGTGCGTAAGCTCTCCGAGTATAAATAGGGGGACGCCTGCATCGATACGAAAGCGACGCTTTCTCGAGCGCGCTGATACTTTACAGTCAACATCGCGATTTCAACAGCGTCAAAGATATGCGATATCAATAGCCGAAATCGCCGAGTAAGGAAAGCCATTGGCTTCGCGCCTTCGGGATCTCGCAATTTTACACGTGTTCGCGCGACCGAAAAACAAATCGGACGTATCTTCGAGGACAGATCGCACGCATTAATCTCGACGTTATCTCGACGCGTTATGACGTCACGCGCGCGCGACGCTATCACGGCGGTTAACTTATAAGGTTATTTGCGTCGCGAAAGCGCGCGACTCTTTAAGGGGGTATATCCGTTTGAACCACTTAATATATAATATTAAGTACTTAAATATAAAAATTTCCAGCTTAAAAAAAAATTTTTTTTTAAAGTTATACGAATATTCGCAGAGCACCTCCAATTTTAGATGGCTATGAAAACATTCGTTTATCATATCCGAAATAAAAAATATATTTTTTTATTAAACATATTAATAGCTATCTCTTATCCAAACGTTTTTTCAAAATTTTAAAAAATAGAAAAATGGCGGCATGTTGAAAAAAATTCCATTAAAAAAAAAAATCCATCTTCTTTTGTTTATAACAAAAATTTATATTTTCATGCACACCGTGCATGAAAATATAAATCTGCAAATATTCGCATAACTTTAAAAAAAAATCTTTTTTAAGCTGAAAATTTTTATTTAAGTACTTAATATAATATTGTATTAATATTGTAAAAAAAATCAAAAGTTTTTATCGAGTCGTTGCGCTGCAAAAAAAAATCTAGAAAATATACTCATTTTTCGAAAGTTCAAACGGATATGCCCCCTTAACGGCGTGACAAAAAAAAAAATTGCATCGTCTATTTGCGGCGAGAAGACGATACCACGCTGTTGTATCCCGGTTTCTCGAATCTGCCTTTTTTTCCAGCGAGAAAATCTCTCCTCCTTCCAGAATATCTCGCCTTTTCCCCCACCGATCGATATTAATGCTGCGTCGCAGCAACGTGATCTCGTGTGCCTCGTGTAACCGTCGCACGTGGCAAACGGCATACACGTGGCGATAATAATTGCGTGGTATTATTTATATATCGCGCGTATTGTTATATATTGGCAAAATGATTTGTAACGTAACGTGTATCGAGAGAGAGTTTCTCGAACTGTTATTTACAGCTCTCGTTTTCCGTTCAATTTGGCGACATAATTATGTAACGACGCTTTTGTAGCGTAGCAATTATTATGTAACTCGAATGAAATCTTTCCCCAGTGTCATTATTTGCGCTCTTTGTGCGTGATATCAAACACATTTCATGTAAAAATACATAATCTTCCTTTCACGCGTGCACACTGTTACTTGAATTACATTTTAATGAAAAGCGTTGATTTTTAAATAATGATAAGAGAGATCTCTCTCGATTGCTTAACCAGTTTTAAAAAAGATTGTGTATTTTTCCAAAGCCTTCGCATACATATCGTATGCAAAAAGAAAAAGAGAGTTTCATAATTTATCAATATTTTTGAATAAACAAAATTTCCTGAAATTTATTTCCGCAATCATTTCAAAAATATAAAAAAAAAGAGTAAAAACAAAACAAAAAAGATTATATAAGAATTAGTACAAGAAACTCACCCGCGGCGATGCTGCATCGTAGCCAAGGACAAATGGTGCTCCATCAGGCTATCCTGTAAACAAAATTTTTGCTATTAATTAATTAATTCGTAAATTAGTTTCATTTATTTAATAAAGGCGTCTCACGTATGTGTATGTGAGCCAGAACAATATTATACGAGAAAAAGTGTTCGCGTTATCAGAACTGGATACTGTGATGAATGAATATATTAATACAATTTCATGATTGACATGTGTTTGATCTCGCCAATGATTATGTGGACAAGCGTTGTATTTTCAGTCGAGGAAAAAAAAAACTCGATAATCGTGACCCGACGTATACGCAACTACGCAGTCGGCATAGAAAAGAAATCGATCGGCAAGAATTCGAGCCGCTTATGGTTACAAGGCGCTAAAGAGCGAACGAAGGACGGCTACTATTTAAATTTTAACCTGTTCGTAAATCTTCGGCGCGATCCTTCGACTTTGATAATCCGTGTTTGCATTTCGAATAACGCCGATTGAAAACAAGTCGCATGCGACTTTTTTTTTTTTAAATCGTTGATTTTATTAATAAATCGTACGAGCAAACATGATTATCGATGCTTCGTAATCAAAACGTGAGACGGAAATATATCTCTAGAGTTATTAATCTTTGCAGACGTAAACACGCGCATTTCATAATATAAACGCAGGGTATTTTTTCAAATCTTGTAAAAAAATTCCCTGAATATTCCCTGATCTTCCAGATATTTTTGTTCAAAATTCCAGGTAACGAGAATATTTAAAGATTTTTTAGTGCAATTTTCTAAAATAAGTTTGTTTATTAAATTTTATTTTATTTTATTCAATTTTATTTTATTTTATTTTCTAATGTTTCACATTCACACGAAGGAAAAACACAAGGCCAATTAAGTTTTATGTGCTAGATTTATATATTGAAAATAGAAACGGAGTAGTTTTCGTTAAGATAAAAATTTTTAACTTGCATAACTTTTATCATTTTTTATAACTAAAAATTAAAATAAAGCATATATGCATATTCAATATTTTATTAAGACATTGAATATATATAAACAGAGATAGATATATATTTAAAATATATTCCAAAATTATAATTCACAACTTGACTTATTGGCGGATTGTCTATTACTTACAATATAAAAGCAAAATTATTTAAGAGATTAAATAATTAGAGATTAATATAGAGATTAATAAAAGAGAATTTTTTAAAAAATTCCCTGAGTCCTAATAAAATTCCATAAAAATTCTCTGATTTATCCAGGTACAAAAAAAAAAAATTCCTGAGGATTACAGGCTTTCCATGTTTTTTCAAGCAGTATGTGAAATCATTTCGTCGTTTTCACGATTTTTGTAAATCTTATTATTTCGTAGATTCGCGATTACATCAGAATGTTTATCTTTCTTTCCACTGCTCTCGCACCGTCGTCATTGTCGTCGTCATGAGAACTCATGCATTTTAACGACAATTTTGTAATTGTAATCCGTATCCGTTCGGTCGTCTAAAAAACCGATCAATTCCACTGCATAATTTCACGGTTCGCGCTTTTCCCCGGAGACGCACGCGTAGAAACGCACGACGATAAAAAACTCTGTGTCGACCTTACATACCATTTTCGCGGTAAAACAAAATTTCCAAAAACAGCTGGCTTTTATATCGATCTCGTTGTCCTTCACATTTTACTTGATTTTCTCGATTAACTTTAGATTAAGTATTATTTAATTATTTAATGCCTTCCCATGTCGTGGTTGTGCTCATGCTGCGTTTACATAACATGCTTCATGTCCTGGTAATTCTAATTAGAACCAGTGCGTATAATACACTTACGTAATTTAATTGCAAAAGAATTGAGGAAAACAACGAAAATAGAAGCGGAGAAAAAAAAGAGAGATAATTAACGGTTTTGATTGACTAGAAATTACATAATTAACGGGCAATAATTAAATGTTCCGTTGTTATCTTTATTATTATCGTCATTGTCGTCGCAAACTCGTTCGCGATGCTTCCAATTTGCGTTGCGTAAACGTTACGTCGCGCCCTGTGGCGTGTTGAACGATAATTATTAATCATTGTATAAAAAAAAATTCAATAATAGCAGCAGTAGACTCAGGGTAAGAACAATCACGTGCAAAACTGACAGATCTTATCTGTCATTTTTAATGACAATTAAATAAAATTTAACAATAAATTCGCGCATTGATACTCGCGCCTTGGCCCTTATCTGCTAGTTTTCCACATAAAAAAAAAAAAAAAATAAAAAAAAAAAAATTCGTTGGATTATCCAAATACTTGAACAAAATATTGCAACATCGCAAATAAACCAAATTGGTAATTTAAACGGACAAAAAAAAGAACGGAAATATGATTTCATGTGAAAAAGAGATCATATCTTTTTTTTTCAAAAACTACTGTAACATTATGTATAATACATATTACGTATACGTGATATATCGATCGATCGCGCGAACACAACATCGGGCGCGGCTGTAATTCAGGTATATATCTCGGCGGAATTATAAATAATCGGCCCCGATTCAAATGCGTTTATCGGCGATTTTATCTGCGTCTCGAAGACGGCATTACCCTGCAAAATCGTCGGCGTCACGCAATTAATGCGATGACGAATTTAAAACGAATTTAATTTAATTAACTAAATGACATTTGAAGATATCACGATTTTTTCTTTTTCTCTATCTCTATCTCCTTCCGAATTATTATTTTTTTTTTAAAACGGCCACGACTTGAACGATCTTAAACGATGCGAGAAACGCATCTCGAGTGGACCTGTTTTCACGATCATAATTTTTCTCTCAGCTTCCATAATTAAAGGTATATGTACACTGAAAAAAAAAAAAAATGGTTAACTTGACTAAATCCGTTCAACTAATTACAATTTTTTTAATTGAGATATTTATATATTTAAGTCAAATATACATCATGTTAGATTTAATATGTCGTGTTTGACTTAAATATATAAATATTTCAATTAAAAAAATGGGAATTAATTGAACGGATTTAGTCAAGTTAACAATTTTTTTTTTTCGGTGTACGTTGGAGCTATGTAATGTGCTCGCCCCTCCCCTCCTTCGCAAAATACACCGTTAGTTTTGTTTAATTATGACTTGTGACCGTTCCTTACGGTTAACGGCCTAAGTGGAACAAAAGACCAAAACCATTCCACGAAGAAACGGCGATATAAATGCAATTTGGCGAACGGCTTCATCCATTAACGGATTTATTGCGGCAGAAACTCAACTCAATCGTGGTTACGTTATAACGCAAATGATGTCGGAGAATGGTGAATGTCAGATTCGTGACGTTCACGCAGAGATTTCGCATCGTTTCCGGCTAAGGAAGCGTTAAGTAAGGTAGAACGAATCTACCTTACTTAGCGTTAGCAATATCTAATTTAAAAAAAAAAAAAAAAAGAAAAGGAAAAAATCTTGGGATTCGCGTAAGACCGGGATAAACTTATCGCGGCTTTATAAATGATTGCAAATTATCGCGAAGTCATTTTGTATCGTCGAGCGAAAATGAGCTCTCGCTCGGTCCACCGTATATACCGCGGCCGTAAAGTCCGCCGTCTCTCCGCGCGCGTTCTCTATAATCTGCGTGGCGCGTAATTCACGCAGATTGCAGGCCTGGGAGTGATGACAGAGGCCCTGATGTCGCTACACGATTTTTTTCTCGCATTAATGCACTCATCGTACTTATTCTCCGTTCCTTGCCGCAGAAATTGCTCCCCGACTCCGGAAAATGGCAATCTACAGGGTGGGCCCGGACTTTGAGATTTTATAGGAAATTCAATTCTGAACAAAAAGTTACCTATAAACGTGGGTTGAAAAATACTTCCTTAAAAAGTTAGCGCTTTTTTCCATTTTTATTCGTTTTCTGCTATTACAGTGCTATTTGAGTTTAAAAAGAATTATTTTATTTTTATGAAAGAAAAAGATTTTTATTTTTCATTTTTATTGATTTTCTCCAAGAAATTTATTGTTCCATCCTTTTTTATTTCATTTTTTTTTTCACCTGCTCTTTCTTTCATCCTCCTATGGTGATTGGTTTAAACAATGCAGAAAAGTAAAATTTGTTTAGTGGAATAACCAATAAACAAAAGATAAACGTTAAAAATTAGCAAAAGCTATAACAGCATAAATGAAGAGTATTTTTAAAAAGCTCTACGAAGAAGCTCTCGAAAGTGGTTATCTCAAAACCTATGGAACGTACTACAATTATTTTGATCTCATTTGAAAGATAATTTAATTCTCTACAACTTTTGTTTCGATACTTTTTATTAAAAAAACGCATACTTTCCCTGATATTTATAAAAATGTATAAAATAACCGTGATTTTAGAGATTTTTGGGCGTTAACTTTTTAAGGAAACATTTTTCCACCCATGTGTATCGGAAACTTTTTGTTCAGAATTAAATTTCCTATAAAATCTCAAAATCTGGCCAGAACCTTCGAGCCCACCCCGTATATACGGATACTTTACACATGTCTTATCCATTATTATTATTCATATGTAGCTAGTCTTTTGTCTCGCCGACCTCCTTGACCGTTTCGACCCCGATGTCAGCACAATGTGTTCGAATAACGCGACTTTTCCTCACATGGGGTGAGCGTCGCGCGTTCGATATAATTCCGTCGAACACGTCAGACATTTGTAGTCACCGCGAACGGAAATACCGTCTGGATCGGTATCAATGTGTAGGTAGATAGGTAAGTAGATATACCCTTCGCGAGACGCTACAGTCAAGATCCGAATGCTGTGTCAACTTCATTCACGAAGAATGCATATACAGAGCGGGACAGGCCAGTCTCTCACACTTGTCTCTTGAGCTCTCTCTCGCGTATTCATTTCTAAATTAAATCTAACCATCTGTCATTATTTCGCTTTCTTTATAAATCCTTTTGTTTATCCTCTTATATATCGTTAATAATTATAAATAAAATCGTCAATTTAGCAGACTTGATTTTTCTTTCTATTTTACATTTTCATTTCTTTTGACTTTATATATCGCAAAAAGAGATTTAAAGATAATACATG